TGATGTATCTATGGATTTTGTTTTGGGCTTACCAAGGTCAAAAAGAGGCCACGATTCTATTTTTGTTGTTGTTGACAGATTCTCGAAGATGGCACACTTCATTCCATGTCATAAAACTGACGATGCAACTAATATTGCGGATCTATTCTTCAAGGACGTTGTTCGTTTACATGACATTCCAAGGACTATTGTTTTTTATTGCGATGTCAAGTTCTTGAGTTACTTTTGGAAGACATTGTGGGGAAAGCTGGGAACTAAGCTACTGTTTTCAACTACTTGTCATCCACAAACTGATGGACAAACAGAAGTGGTTAATAAGACATTGTCAACTTTATTGCATTCTATTATTCAGAAGAACTTGAAAAACTGGGAAGAGTGTTTGCCGCACGTTGAATTTGCTTATAATCGAAGCGTCCATTCAGCAACTAACTGTTCGCCATTTGAAGTTGTGTATGGTTTTAATCCACTCACTCCTTTAGATTTATTGCCTTTACCTATTGACAAACAAGCTAGTTTGGATGGGAAAAAGAAAGCTGAAGTGGTTATAATCCACTCACTCCTTTAGATTTATTGCCTTTACCTATTGACAAACAAGCTAGTTTGGATGGGAAAAAGAAAGCTGAAGTGGTTAAGCAATTGCATGAGAGGGTGTGACAAAACATAGAGCGACAAACTAAGCAGTATGCAAAACAAGCCAACAAAAGACGAAAGTTGTATTTGAACCTGGAGATTGGGTTTGGGTGCATATGCACAAGGAGCGATTCCCTGCACAAAGGCGTTCTAAGTTGCAACCAAGAGGCGATGGACCATTTCAAGTGATTGCGAGGATTAATGACAACGCATACAAGTTGGAGCTTCCTGGTGAGTATAATGTTAGTGCTACTTTTAATGTTTCTGATCTTTCTCCTTTTGATGTAAGTGACGATTTGAGGACAAATCCTTTTGAGGACAAATCCTTTTGAGGACAAATCCTTTTGAGGACAAATCCTTTTGAGGAGACAGGTAATGATGGGAATCAAGACGACAGCATATCTACTACGTCATGTGATCCATTACACA